CTGTGAAGTCAGCAGCTGATCTGGCTTGCTCTGATTATTATTGAGTAACAAAAATCTTTAGTATCTGAGGAATTTATTAGCTTTTTTCCTTCCTTCTCCTCCCTCTCTTAGAACATTGGATTCTCTATCCCCAGGCATTTTTAAGATCTTCTGAAAATTTGTTATAATCTTGAAGTCTTGGGATGTGAAACTTACTGTATAATTATTTCTGCTTTGCAAAAATGGTTTTGGTGACTGTCAACCTAAGCAGTCAGTGTTGCTACACCCCTGGAAGATGATGTTGTAGAATCAGTAAGGGATCTGTGGTTTACATCACTGTCACTCAGCCATTTCCAGGTTAACTGGTAGATAAGAGTTCTTCCAAAGCTGTTTGAGTACTGCTTCTACAGTACAGCTCCAAACCAAGAATCCCAAGAAAACAGAAAAGGGCCGTATCATATTTATTAACTGTATTTATAGTCAATGTAGCAAAAAATAACTTTTTTTTTTTTCTTTTTTTTTTTTTTTACATTTCTGACAGATTAACATGGTGAAACTGCGGCACGGGGCTAGGTGAATGCCAGGAGTAGCTCGAATGGGTGGGGAGGTGAAGTGAGATGGCCCAAGCTAGCAGTCAGATCTGCTTAGGCTGCCCTGGTCCTGAGGTCTAAGGCAGTGAAATCAGGACACGTACCACCCTCTGCCTCTAGTGAACAGCAGGGCAAGCACCTCTAGAAGGCTCCTCAATTCACTGGGTGTCTGGGACATATTCTGTAAGACTGTCTCTTTTTCCTTAGGCTACAGAGGAAGATGTGAATACTCTAACTCCTAATTTAGTTGCCTAAAGGTAGGCAGAGTAAAAATAAATCTTTGTGCTTTGCTGCACCTTTGTTTCAGGTTTGTCTCGTATTTGCTCAGAAAGTCTGTGCAGCATAATTTTATTTTTCTTTGGTATTAGAAAAAAAATATTTCTTTTATAAGAGTCAGGCCAAGATCCATCCAAAATTACACTTAAAGGGCTTCAAAAACACCTAGAAATTGCTGTTCTTTAATAGATGCTCTTTTCTCTGGTGTCAAAATCATCAGATGTATTGTAACTGATTTTGCATCGCGGATGATAATAAACCTTGAAATAGCAATGTTTTTGGATCTTCAATTTTCCCCATCTGGTAACTGATTTTCATACTGCTTTCTGACAAGGAATATAGTCACCTCAGGCCTGTAGCTCTGAAATATTAGATACAAGATTATTTTGTCCAGTTCTAGTGTACCTTCGCCCTGGTCTCGTTTCACAGAACCCTTACAAAAACCTATCAGAGGAAGACGTGGCTTCTCTCCTTTAGGTGGAAGGTATAGTAGAAATTCTTGAGCAAGTAAAAGGATGTGGTGGGTTGGGTTTGTTTTTTTTCCATATCCTGATTATTGGTGAACTTGACAAGTAATTGATTTTATATTACTTTCCACATATGTGTATATATTAAAATTATATGAGAATTCTACATGAAAATTTTGGCTAGGGAAATATTTTCAAAATAAAACCAATCTACTTTAAATGGTATAATTATATGGAAATTTTGTTTCAATTTCTAATTTGTCAAGACAAATGCTTGGCTAGCTTTTCAGACTGATTACAAGATTTAATAGTTCTTGATGGGTTGAGTAACGAGGTGAACTGAGGATCTGACCTGAATATTTTGGCAGAAATGGGAATGAGAAACCATAGCATTATCTGTATCATAGGAAATATTTTAACTATAAATCAAGCTTTGCTACTGCTGGTGTTCTAGTGTGGCTGATCAGATACGTTCACTCACAGCGCCTCCCTTTTTGAGGTGTTATGAGTGCCAGTGAAAGATTGCAAGTGTTTAAAGTGTTAGTTTTCATATACTATTATATTTATAGACTGTGAAAAGCATAAACACATAGAAAGCATGTTCCTAATACATATCTCAGAGGATTGGATTTCTGCAATGTGTAATAGGTAATCTGAGAGAGAACAGTGAGTGACAGAGTGGGTCAATAGCACACCAGACAAACTTCAGGCAGTTTACTGCAAGGAAAGAATGAATTTAAATGGTTTTAGATGTTTATATTCACACATATATGATGGGCAAGAATACTGTGAATCTTATCCCCTAATAACACATAATATCCCTTCAATCATGTGTTCATGTAGTTCATCTTGAAACAAGAATGTGTTGATTCCCCTCCTTTCAGCAGAATGTCCCCCGTGCTTAATGCACTCAACGGAAGAAGTGTTAGTAATAATGTTGTACTTGTTCTTTTCTGTACATTTTAATCAAAATATTTCGATAGATTTGCAAATAACATTTAGCCCAGGATACCTTGACAAGGTATTTAATAGAATCTTGGTATTAAGTGACAAAGTAGTGACTACAGAGGTCACTGGCAGAGTCGCACAGAAACTGTAAATAGTAGACACTGACTTACACTTCAGTTCAATAATATTCTGCCTGTTTGTGTTCCCTGGCTCAGGGTTCACAGTAATTCCAGTATTTATGTGTTTTCTCCTATAGCCTTTTTGTAATTTGAAGATGGCAATCATATCCTATTAGTCTCTTCTTCCAATTGAAATTTTCAGAGGATTAAACTTTTTCAGAATGTAAGGTGAAATGTTCTTTTTGCTTTGCTTTTCTTGAAAGATCCTCAGTTTTGCATATTCTAAATATCTTTTGCAGTATTAAGAATTGCAGCTATAGATGCAACTCAACATTATTACAAATTTAATTCACTCAAGAAACACCTCTTGAATTAAAATCCTCTGGTTTTGTTCTCAGGCTAAAATTTGGAGTTGATGGAGAGATTTTAGCCTTTTTTGTTAGCCTTACCTTTTAGGAGACAAGAGTTTAGAGCAACACATGATTTGTCTGTCAGTCAGACACTCAAATAACTTTTGAATCAGTTAGTTCATTTCAGCTAAATTTGACAGTATGCTAGAAATCTCTTAAGGTAGGCTTGGTACAGTTTTGTGAAAACTGATGACAGGGTGAAATACCAAAGCCTGAGTTAGTGTCCCCACTGAGGTAAAGTCAGGGGAGACTTGGACTTTATCTGTTTTGTTTGGCAACAGCTGAATGATCAGGCAGGATGAGTGAAGCTCTGGATTAGTTGCTACATGTACTTTCTCTGGCCCCAGGGAAGTGAGGACGTGTCAGCTAGGACTACTTAGGGGAGCAGGACAAAGAACTGGCAAATCTTTGGGAATATTGTAATAAGGTTAGGCTAAGCAAAAGAAGTGGGTTATTATGCTAGGAAGATGGTGGTACAGATTTGTGTCTTCTGTCTCCTATAAAAAGCCAGACTTTGTCAGTTCCTCTGCTTTTGGGGCAGCTTGTCTTTTTTTTCAAATTTTCACATCAAAGCAGCAAAAATGTCTGTTTATTTAATTTACTTTTTTTATGACTTACATAACTCAGAAATATCAGATATAAAATCTTGAATTTTGCATGTTGCTAGACCTCAGTGAAGGGGCCATTTTAGCATTTTTGGAGATAAGAAACGTGAAAGAAAAAATAAGCATGTGATTATGTTGAAGTAGTGCAAGCACGCAATTCAAGCCAGTTACTCCAGATATTGGTTTGCAACAGTTTACTGATTAGATATATCTTTGTGAAAAAGCGACTTTTCATGTAACCCAGCAACCACAGGGCAAAACAAAATGTTTTGCAACTCCACCATCTTTTACATGAGAATTTCAAAACTCTTCACTAATAACAGTGATTGCTTTCATAAATGCCAACCTTGGACAGCAGAGAAATTTCAGTTTCTTCTAATTATAAATGAAGACCAGATTAGATGATATATCTGTTATTACCGAGAATATCTCTGTCAGAGCCAGAATCTGCAATTTACCATTTATTTTCCTATGTCTCAGTCAGAAGACCTTTTCCTTTCACACACTAATTCTTGCACTGTATTGATGTTATAGTCTTGCATCTGAAAATATGCATGTGGTATTTTATGAGTAGTTATTAGAGTTGCTTATATAGCTGTAGAAAATGCAAAGACACGGTAACTGACTAGGTCAGTCTGTGTGTATATTTTAGCAATTCTGTGCATGCCATAGTGGCATGTGTAGTTACATGCATGTGCTCTTGATAATCCTTGGCATACTGTGTTTTTTACACCTTGAGCTCACATACAATACTACCCAAGCTATTCTTTGTATACACACAGATTCTATATAGGGTCATTCTGTTCATGTACAAACTCTGATTTTTGTAGTCAGCCTTTCAGAAATGAATGTACACTTTTGGTGAAGAAGTTGCCCAGTAACATAATGTACCTTGGCTCTGGAAGATCAGTTGGTTGAATTCTTACGCTTTTGTGTACTTCTCTCTTTAATATGCACCCTATGGTCAATAAGCAAGAATGGGCTTGCATTTACAGCACTTACTTTTTTATCTTTCTACAAAAGGAGGGATTATGGAAGAAACTGACTGTAAAAAAAAAAAAAAAAAGTGACTGAAAGAAGAGTGATTTTATTTTTTCCTTCCTTTAATGTTTGAGACATTTTTTTTTAAATCATCAGCCATACTTTATGTAATACTGCTTAAGCAGTGAAGCAATGGGAACTTGTATAAGGGAAACTACTTTAGGTAACCAATGGTAAATAACTATGAGAAAATGGAAACCAATACATACCTGAAAAGGGATCACAATATTGATTGTCTCACCCACTTTCTTCACCAGAGTCTGTCTGAGATGGCGTGGCAACCAGATTTTGGGACGCTCTGCAGTTAAGCATTGGTATGTTAAATACAAAGCTTTTGATAATTTGAAATATTACTTATAGCACAAATAAGACAAAACACCAAAGAGGAGAGGCTAATTCTCTAAGTACTTTCAAATTTATTTGGCTACTGGATACAAATTTAGTAGCAAATCTCAAGTTATATATTTACAACTGAGCATGTTTCAGTGACAGCAGAACTTGTGAAAACTATTTCACATCTGAAATGTCAGATTTGAGTGGCTTCTGTTGGATATGAGCCTTCTGTGTGGACTTTGTTTCTTGGGAGAACTTTATCATTTCAGCAGAAGGGATGGGCAAAGGGAGTAAAAGAGTGATCATAGACTATGATTTATCTATTGCTCCCTTGATACTGTAGCTCCTTGTAAATTGCCATTTGGAGATATTTATGGACTTACTCAGAAAGCAGAGCAATCAATGGATTTCCTTTACCTTTCTACAGTCTTTCAGTTATAGTTCTTTCTTTGAGGTGGAAGGAGGGGAGGCTCATTGTAGCAGCTCACGTTTTACTAATAAAAAGAGGACCTTAGTGCATGCTTTTTCATTGAGTCCCTGTTTTGCTCTACCTCACTGGAAAGCTTTCTATGTCCTCCATGTGTTCCTTATGCTTTTCCTAGTTGTTTCCAGAAAGAATTTCTTAACGTATAATTGGAGTATCTGTCTTCATGTCCTTTTGGTTTTGAGATGCATTACAACTTCACTTCATTTACACTGAGTCATTTTACTGACAGTGAGACTCTGGCAGACACCTTGTATGAGTCAAGGTTGAGGAATCCACTATTAGCGGCTCTTGATATCTTTTGGACTCCAGTCAAATGAACTATAATCTACTGCTGTTGGGTGATACACAGGGTGCTAATTAATAACTTGGGGCAATCAAGTACAGATTACTGTTTTTATTTAAATAGATCTCTTGCCACAGCCAAAGAGGTCATTTTGCAGTAATATAACAGCTTTTTCAGCAAAGACCTAAATATAAAAAAAAAGTCTAAGAGACATTTAAGATATTTAATAAATGCTGACAGTGCCATTATAAGAGATTAAATGTCCATATTTTGAAAGTAAGATGCAGGATTTTATTTTAAGAGCTATGCTTTAGAAATATAAGACCTGGGCAGTTTAGTAATGTTCTCAGAATCAGCAGGTGTTGGTCACCTAGTCAAACTGGAATTGCTGTTTGGGGTGTTATGGTCAGAAGGTGGCACAGGCTTGTCAGTCCCAGAGTTTTTCTGCATGTGTACATAATTAGAATTTTGACCAGAGGAAAGAGATGAATAAGGTTTATTCAGTCTAGATACTCACGCAGGATCTCTTGAACAGTAACAGGCTCTTTGATTATTGCTGCTCCACTCTCACCAGCCAAGTTTATGGCCTTTATACGGAAATAAAGTTTGTCTCCTGTGACCAGGTCTTTAATCAGTGCAGATGTGCGCTCAGTTAGGCCAGGAAGAGCTGGAATCCATTCCGTAGCTGCAAGTACAGGATTTGCATATTGTAATAATATATTATTTTTCCAAACTGATGCGTTGTCTACAATTGCAAGTGAATTTGTATTAGGGTAAAATGAGTTTAGCATGCAATACCACACTTAAAAAGGAATAAACTAATCTGGAAAAAGAGCTCTGCATCTAGAAGATGTGTTTGCACATGGAGTTAAGAAATGTATACACTTTGTTTATTCAGAATAGCTAAGGGTAAGGAAATAATCTTTGGGTAGTTCCTTTGGCATTCTGTTTTATTCAGCTTAGAGCTGTGGGGCTTCTCTACAATTATTTTCATTAGGAGGATGTGGGGGGAGAGAATTTTGGAAGTATTTTTAGCAAGAAAGCGAGGCCTCAATTTAATTTTTTTCTGAGAATAAGTATATCTACTGTGGGTGTCCAAACCCACAAGAGCCACAGATGCTGAAAACAATAATAGAGCACATAACTGATGGAATTTATTATTAACTCCTCGATTGAGACTGCAGAACAGAATTCTTGGGCCTAATAACTAACCTCCTTAGTTATTCTAATGACACAGAAGTACAATTGATAAAATCATTCTTTGTTGATGAGAGGGATTCTGGTAATTCCATTATGATATTTCATTGAAGACTATAAATTATTTCAGAATAAATTATACACTGTAAAAACCCTAGTTTAGGCTTACTGTCGGAGAAAATGTCATGATTAGAGATTTGTTATTTGATTTTTATGACATAAATGTTATGTTGTGGCATCACAGTAAATTGAGTGTTGTAGATATGGTGCAGCTACACTCTCTGTTATCAGACCACAAGTATTAAATGAGATAAGGTAACAGTTACTTGAAAGTTTGACTGATGTTACCATTATGTTGGTTTTAAGGCATAAACAATTTGTAAATGCCACAAAAGTATCATAGTTACTATAGAACAGCACTTTTGGTATTGTTGTAGTACTTTTTTGTATAAAGTTTATTATGATTGTGAAGATGACGTTATCGTTAATGTGACTATCATGGTTTTATAGTCATGTTGTGGTTAGCCTGGTCATGTTTTGCAAGGATGTTAGTCATAGATTAGAGTTCAAATTTAATGGTAGTGGATATGGTTAATTTATTGGGTTATTGCACTGAAGCTATTGCAGTTGTAGTATTGTAATAATGTTCAGTTGCTGCTGTCCAGTACTTGTGTTTACTTACATCCATCTTTGCAGTATTCCACAATATAACCATCTAATCCACCAGCTCCAATGCGCTCAGGGGGTCTCCACTTCAAGGTAACAGTGGTGTCAGAAACATCTTCCACTGTAAAGTGGGTTGGTTCGCTTGGAGGAGCTATACGGAAATATGTAGAAGTAAACTCTGAGAAATGGTGATGTAACTGTGAGAATTCAAAGCCTGTGGATGGAGTGATTAGCAGCTGAATTCTATACCACTATCTGTTTTAATAAAATAACTTTATCTGAAGCTCAGTTTTAAAAGGTATCACCTAATACTTCATTTAACAGAAGTGCAGCATAAGATTCCTATAATAGGGAGGGGAACAAGAGGTTAAGATAGCAGTTCCTATTCACATATGTTCCCCCATGAGTAAAAGCCAATGAAAAAAGACGAGTTGTAGAAGGGAGTCAGATTGTCAGCAGATGAAGAAGTCTGCATAAAAGTTTAGAAATAAAAATGCATACAAATTGTATACTGTACTTACACCCTGATTGTAATTAGACAAATGTCACATAGAGGATAAAATTCATCAGTAGCAAAATTTGTTCACTCATTTTCCTCCAACAGTGGAGAAAATGACCAAAAGTTATGACTACATTTTTACAGAAATAATAGTTCTGATTTGTGTGTTTGTAATAGAGACATGCCTGAGAAAAATATTTTTTTGGGGCTGAAAAATTTTCCCTTCAGTTAGATAAAACTATTTCATATATTTTCAGAACAACAGTGTCATGGCTATTTTTAAATCCATAGTTCAGAAAGACCACTAGCTAAATTCAATCTTCTTAAGCACAATGGTTGTCTATTAATTAAAAAAAACAAACAAGAAAAATCCTTACTGGAGAATCCCAAATACACACAAATGCTGTTGTGGAATCATTGATTCCAAAAAGCAAACAGGAAGATAACTTTCTCAAATTAATATTTGGAGTGCTGGAACATAAAATTTCGTATACATGGCATAAACCAAATAATGTTAAAGAAATGTATGTTTGCCACGCTCTGTGTATATATATCATAAACTGAACATCTTTTGAATACACATAACAGATTTTACATCCTAGAAATATTTAATATATAAAATAAATGAAATACAGGTTTATAAATTGTGCAGCTGATTGAAATTGACCTTCGTTCCCAAAGTTATTAAAAAAAAACCAAAACAAAACACCACCCACTTTCCTTTGTGCAGCTGTGACAAAATTTTTCACATTGAAATGGCTGCAAGGACTGTGAACAGCATACAGGAGGCAAAGGCAGTTGGGAGCATAGACAACCACACCATACACGATCAAAACCCCAAACTTCTTCTCTGAAGCCGTAAGTGTGAACTTTATCCTTAATCAAGTAAAACTGCCTATCCCATGAAAACTTTGGACCTTTTTTTTCAGTAGCTCCACTTGATGGTTTTTGTTTGCCCTCTTTTGTTGCAGACCAGCCGTTGTGTGTTTGAAATCCAGAACTGAGAGACTCTTCTTGTAGTTCATCCTTTCCTTCTGACCCCTTCACTGCATCATCTGCTTTTACATTATTTCCTTCAGCAGGCTGTCCCCCTTCACTGATATTTGTAGATTTAGCAACTCTAGTCATTTTAATCTCCAGCGGTTTGTATTTTCGTGGGTCTTCTTTCTAAAGCTCTTTAGCAGGCAGGCTTCCTGAGGTCTCCTTTGGTTTGCTCCTTGCTCAGGGACTGCAGGAGACACTGCACTGCTGTGTTGGGAAGGATTATTTATAGAAAATCATTCCTCAAATATTTTCTTAATCAGCTATCCTTTTAGCTCTGGAGAGGGCCAGGATTAAGGGAGTACTGGGTTGGATACTATGATATTTGCACCCATAAGGGAATGGGGGAAGCTGAGAGGGACAGAGAAATTTCTGTCAATTAGTTCTCCTCCTTTCCAGATCCAGCTTGACTCTCACACTTCTAATTATAACACCTAAAAATTCATCAGCAATTTCATGAAACTGGAACCTCTGTGCTTCTCAGGAAGGGGAATGAGAGATAGAGAAGAGGAAGATTAAAAAGGAAAAGGTTGATTATAGAATATAGATATGGTTGATATCCTCTTTCCTAACACATACAAGGGCAGCTGAAGAGAAGAGGGGGAAATTATCCTGTCTTGGTTTTCGCCTAGAAACAATATAGAGTGTGGTAAAACTCACCAATTGGCATGAAGGGTTGTGAGGCAGGGCTTGGTCGGGACATGCCAATAGAGTTGACAGCGTAAATCCGCATCTCATAAACTACTCCTTCAATCATTCGCTTGGCTTCATAGGTTAGCTCTTTTAAAAGGTCAAAGTTCAGTCTCATCCATCGATAACTCTTCTTCTTCTTTCTCTCTAAAATATAGCCTGGAAAGGATAGCTCTTGTGATGTAAAAGAACTGCAAATTATTATCTCGCATGCAGGAAAGAAGAAAATAACTGTTTTTTTCCCAATGGCATAAAAGAGACAAATGTGATTCAAAATTATTGCAGATAACTGAATTGTGTGAAGCTGTGGTATTTTCCACCAGTTTCCTTTTGTGTTAGCTTCCTTCTATCTGACATTCTTACCTGAACAACTATACTTTTCAGAGCAGAGGTTATTTAGAATTGTCTATGTCTGGTATTAGGCTTTTAGCACATTTTACATGCTCTACATTACCACTAAAGTATTTGTATGTATGCAAAATAGAAATACTAGCAGAGCTGGTTTAAATGGTAAATCCTTTCTGGCAAGAATGCGGGCATTCACTCCTAATGGCAGAGAAATACATGAGACAGAGCAGTTCAACAGAAAGCCCTTTCAGTGGAGGAGAAATGCCTTGAAATGTGTAAAATGAGAGAGAGTTTTAAAAAAATCAATTTCTGTCTTATATTTTGCTGCAATTCCTTAATCTTGACTGACAGCCCAAATCCCAATGCAAAAAATTAGTTGGAACAACAGTTTGACACTTCCCTTTGGTTTGGGTTTTTTGTTTGTTTGTTTTTTAAATGGTTTTTCAAAGCACTTATGTTAGATCTCTGGATCCAGTGCTAAGTGGTGGAATTGAAAAGTGCTTCCCAGACAGTGCAGATCCTGTCTCTGCTCCAGCCCTGCAGTGGAGTGAGTCCTGGCCGTGTACCATTTCTCCTGCTCTGATTCACTTGGGAACCTGTATGATTACAGAGAACTGGGAGAGCTGGATGCACTGCAGAACAAATCTGTAGTATAGCTTAGTCTGTATGCCCAGAATCCAGGTCTTCAGTACATCTCCTTTGCTGTGCCAACATCCAGAGCCTTTCCCACACTACCATGCTGTTTTTCAGAATGACTAAGTCAGGCTGGGTAATCAGTTTAAAAGATAAGCTTCTCATTTCCCAAAACTGGGAATGGAATCTGTGACTCTTGATCCTTAATATGGAGGATGGTTGTATAGCACATTGGAAACATTCACATAAATTATTTTCCAGTGACCTGCTACAAAGGAGTTATGAACTGTTTATTTCTGTCCAGCTGTATGAAATTTCTGCTAGTTCTCTGTGTTGCAGATGGTATGTCTGGATGTGGGTAGATGGTATGTATGCAGATGGTATGTCTGGATGCATGTAGACTTCTTTTAAACAGATTTTGTTTTGAAAGCTATTCATCTTTTAACTATGGAGTGAATAATCAGAAAATACACTGAATAGTGATTTACATATACCATGTATTCATATGTATTTGTTTCTACCTATAGTCTACAGAGGACATATCTGTAAGAGTGGTCAGCTACAATAGTATAAGTCTATAGCAAACACATTGTAAAGATTTAGGAATTGAGCTGTGTAGGTCAGTGATTTAATCCCTGCAGCTCGTAAAGCTTGTGGCTGTCAAACTTGCAGATGTCCGTTGCATGGAGGTATGTTTCACACTTACAGCATCTAAAGGGAGATGGCACACTTGCTGACACGTTACAGGCACAGACATCATGCATCAGCAGCCTTTCCTGTCTACATTTTGTTGCAAGAAGAACATGGGAGTCTACAGGATGTTTTGGAAGATGGGTGGTGGAAGTACCTTTGAGCTGACTGGTTGCGTCATCACTTCTGATGTATGAAGTTATGCCTGGCATGCTTGTCTTCACTAGCTTTTAAACAGGGTTAAATGTTGTAAGCAAAGAACTTATGGTTCCTTTTGACATGTTCCTGCTTTTTTTTGCCTCTTCACCAAGGTCTGTGAGACAGAAGTTTCAGCAACGCAGTTTCTGGTTTTGTGCCATTTTAGATATGCATAGTTTCCTGTCAGAACTAAGACACTTCTTCACTGTGGCATACCACAATTGCAATTTAAAAAAAAAAAAAAAAAAAAAAAAGTAAAAGGGAGGTAAAAGGATAATACTTGTCCTGTTGGTGACATTTGGTAAAGCAGATATATTTCCCCAAATGCCCAGAACATATGATAGATAAAGATACAGCTTTAGTAATATAAAAAGTACCCGAGACCCCATGGAAGGTTTGTGTAACAGTGAAGATGAATATAGAATTTCTTTTCTATATTTGCTGGATATAGCTAATAAATACTGTAGTAGGCTGCCTACAGTGCCATCTGTAACAACATGAAGACAGATAAGAATGCCTATGTCTTTTCCCCCTGCCTTTTGAACTTGCTTTTAAAGCTTTGTTTGAATGGACAGTGCTGCATCTTGGCTGCTTTTTTTTTTTCCCCAGGTGTTTTATTCTAGCTCTATTAGTAGTACAGTCCTGTGCTAACTGAAGAAACCTCCTTATGTAGTGCAAAGAGTTGTTAGTGTAACATGAACAAAATAATTCCTTTGACAGTGAACACAAAACAAAGAACTTAAAGAACTTTCCAAAGTATGTGTCCTGAAAACCCTACAAAACCAAATTGTGGGCTTCACATAGTCAAGGGGGAAGGTGGAGGGGGGAGAGGCTGTTTCTCTGTGGTAATGGGGCAGCTATTGGTATATAACTTTCCACATAATAGTTTAAATTGTTAACTTCTTGCTTGCTTCCTGTCAGAATAGATAAAATAACAAAGGACTAGCCCAGTAGTATCTTGTTATAGTATCTTTTCTATTCCTGCACAGATAACTTCTGTTGAATTAAATGAGGTTACTCTATTCTTGTGGAAGTGAATGAAGTCCAAATATCCAAAAGCAAATACAAACTCCTCTCTTCCAGGTACTATGCAGGGGACTAAAAGAATTTTAGAACATTTCTAGCCCTGGCATCCCCATGGGACTCCATATAGCTTTCAGTGTATATTTTTTTTTGAGAAGAAACTCAAACTCTGGTGCTCTTTATTAAACAAATTGCTATATTTGAAGTCCAGAGGAATTTTTCCCTAAAACTGGCTGACTTTGTATTGTTTTCTTTTCCTTCTGAGGATGACAGGGAGTTCTATCTAAAAACTGCCATGCTGTGCAGAGAACTTAAAACGATATTGGTGATATTCTTGATTGCTTCTGCTTCTTTCCTGTAGTACATGATAACTTTGGCCTCTAGTTTTCAGTACAGATTTTAGTGTCATCAAAATGATCTAAAAGTGTTTTCTGACCCGTGGTCAGTGGTTGTGTGGAAAGTAGAATTACGAAGTAGTTTTCTGAAAGAAATGTGTTGCATGAGTGGTTGAGATTGTAGATGACTGGAGTTGATGACTGAGGTGGCCATAAATGTGGTTTGGTATTCCTAGGTAAGTCCAAAGGCCTATGTATGGACCTAAAATGTCAGTCTTGAATTAAAATGTTTAGTTTTAGCTAGTTTTGGTATCACCTTCCTGTGCTTTGGTAACTTATTTGCTGAAATATTTATCTCATACAAACAGCAGGGGTAAGGGTCACTCTCTCCCTAAAATTGAAGGGTCAGAATCTAGACCACTTTGAAGGTTTGATATATTAGAGTAGTTAGTTTCTGAGGGTCAGCCTTCCTAGAGTGAATAAACATAGAGAATTTTCCTGTGAATTTTAAAGGAGCGGCAAAAATATAGGCAAAGCTGCTGGGGACTTCATATTTTAGCATTTCTTACCAAGTACAGGTTGCCCACCATCATATTTAGGGGGTTCCCACTGCACAGTACAGTAATCTTCTCCGATGTTGCTGATCTTGGGAGCTTCTGGAGGGTCAGGAACATCTAAAGAAAGTGTGAGAATGAATGAGAGTTGTTACTGTTTCAGTTTCTCTATACAAGTAAATGAAATATTTTTCTGTAACATTTTTTACATATTGTATTGATACAGCTTTGTCAAACAGTAGGTACAATCGAGAGTGTATTGTCTTAGTCTAGAGTCAATCCTATGCTTGATGCTTCTATGTTAGGTTGGTTTTCCTTTAAATACCATTTGATTATTCATCTCCCTTGTTCTTCCCAGACATAATCAACTTTTTACAAAGACATAACGTAACAAGGTAATTGTTATGTAAGAAGAGGCTTGCTCCAGGGTTTCCTGTTTGCTCTAGAATAAACTTTATATAGAATATAAGGGCTGCATGTCTCACATTTTTTGTTATTTTGGAGATGTTAAAGTAAATATCCTGACTTAGGATTTATAAAAGATAAAAAGAAACTTAGTATTCACCTAAGCAGTGAATTATAAATGTTAATACTGTAGGTGAAAATATTTGTCTTTTATAATTTCTAAGTTTGCTTATAACCTGACTTTTGGTTATATGTGTGGCAGTGTATAAACAAATTAATTATTATGAAAAAATTTATAAAAATTAGTGACTCAAAATCATAATCATCCCCCCCCCGGCTCTTCTGTGAGTAACAGTGGCAATCTGTTTATCTTATATCAGATACATTAAGTATCTTTATTCTATTAACCGTTTACTGCTTATAGAATGAATTAATCTTTGCTTAAAAACATAAACCACAACAAAACAACAAGTTTTTCTTATCTCAAACAAGCATGAAGCATATACTTCAGAAGAATGCCATCTATAAAATGATAGGACAACCCTAAACTGGAAATATATAAAAAGGAAATACATGGATTTCTACTGGGAGTTGTTCTCCTACCCTTTCACACAGAAGGCAACTACCTGTGAAAAATATTGCTGCCAAATTTTGTGATTGATAGTATTCTTGCTTTAGGATCCTCTTCTGTTTTTCTAAATCTAAAGTCAGAACTTGCCTCAGTTTTAGGGAAGGGTGAGTCTCCGTGAACTCAAGATGCTTTCATGATCTGGTTATTTCCTTCCTTCACTTACCAATAACTTTGACTGTGATATCAGCCTTATCTTCTCCCACTGGATTCTTAACTATAACTCTGTATACTCCCTCATCCTCCTTTTCTGCTCCTTCAATGATGAAGACACAGTGGTCTTCATGCATCTCCACACGAACTCTGCCTTCAGATTCAAACAGAAGCTGTGGGCAGTGAAAGTAACAGATAAAGTCATTGTAAGGTGTGCCAGGGACAGCCTGATGAGCCTGTATGTAAGCTGGTGAAAATCTTCAAATCATTGAATGTTATCAAAATTATTGAAAAGCTATAAAGAATTTCAAGTTCTATTTGTATGTAGAAGAGAGAAAATATAGACCAAGTAAGTGACTCACATAAATAGCATTTGGGAAAATCGGTTCTGAAAGTCTGCAGGTTGTTAAGATTCATTGTTAGTTACACAATACCCTGTTACATTTCAAAGAAGTTACTAAGTGCTTCCACAGATTCCTACTTGGGATAGCTGCTAGTATCAATGTAAAGAGTTTCATGGAAAACAGTTAGGTACTGTGTAAATTCAAGAAGGTTTGCAAATTCAAATTCAAACGGTTGAGCAAACATTCCTGATCAACAGTACCTACATTTCGCATCAGATAACAGGGATTTGAACAATTTCCCTCTGAAAAATGTACCATGTTTCTTGTAACTGTTTATGGCATCAGTGTGATTTCTGTCCCTCAAGAATCTCATATGGGGTAACTTTCTACTCTTCTCTGAGCTGAGGTCTAAATATAATGACCATAACTTTGCTGTGCATTTTAACACACTCTTTTCTTCTTATTGTGCCTGTGTATCTTTAGACTTAGAACAGGAACCATTAGAAAGCATATGTACTGAAGCAGTGTCTAGTACAGCAGGATCCTCACCCCGAGAAAGGTTTATGGTTGCATAATAAATCAGAAATATTTTTTACTCTATCAAAACAAGAGTAATTTATGACAAAAAGGAAACTTGTTGGTAAATGAATCCTCTATCATTGTTTTGTACGTGCATAGTCCCCTCTCTTGACCCATTGTCCTGTAAGGAGGACCTGGGGAACTACAGGC